TTTTTGTTTTTGTCAGCAGCTGTCTTAAAATATGGCTATCTTGGGTACACCTCTTTGGCTGTATCTGTTAAAACTTTCTGTTTGCAGCCAATTGTACAAAGAGTCAATGCAATCTCTTTTCTGTCATTTATAAGGTCTTGACCTATCTAAGGAGTCCCAATTGGGACACCCGTATAGCAGCAGGCCAAGCTGTAGAGGCCATTGTGAAGAATATTCCTGAATGGAAACCAGCTCCAAAGCCTAAAGAAGGTGAGCATTTGTGCCTTCTCATTAAAATATTTAAGTGATGAGTTGGAGGTATATGCATCACAATAATCATTTGTTTTTGTGAAGTGATCTATTCTTTTGGTCAAACGTGCTTATGAAAAAATTCAGACCACATAGGTTTGACTTAGGTTTCATATCAGTTCATAAAGTGACTGTTTTGTGTGAAAACTTGCGTACTAATTATTAAGTGCTTAAGGGTGTAATTGAATACATACTGGTTTAACACATGATGCCCTCTGTTGTGAACTGGAAAAGATGCCTAAAGTAGGTGTCCATGCCCCAAATTGATGTCTTTTTGTCTGTTTAGTTTCACACTAATTAATATTTTTTGTAAAATAGTGAAATGTTGCATCATTGTCTTTTTGTTTTTGCGAGTTATAACCTTCTCTGTGTTATATGCTCTGTGCTAATTTACCTACAATTTGAATATTGCACCTTCCCTTTCATTTTCACTTGGCTACACCATTTGAAATGACAATTTAATATTATGAAACTTTGTGTTTGTTCTGTAAAGAGTCCTGTGAAGACCTGTCTCCAGAAGAAACATCTTGCGACCGGTTGAGTTTCTACCACTTTGACATCTCTCGCCTGCTGAAACACGGGGCATCTCTGCTGGGATCTGCTGGGGCCGAATTTGAGCTGCAGGATGACAAAACTGGTTTGTAGTGACTCTTCAAATATTATTTCAGCTGCAATAACATCTATGCTCTTACACCCTCTCCCATGCACACGTCTGAACCTGCACGGCCTCTTGTCTGATTGTATGTGGCGTTTACCAAAGTGGAAGATTTTAAATCTGCATTTTCCTGCTTGTTTTTTTCCATTGAGGAAAGGCATTATCTAATAAGTTTTTGATTTAAAATGAAGACCATTGTAACAGGTTGAAATGTGTTTGGACAAATGCTGGTCAAACCTGACCAGTAAGACTGCTTTGTTACAAATTTGAATACAGTTTGAAAGGAGAAAGTTGTTCGTTCTTATCTTTTGGTGGTCATTTGAATTTGTAGTTCCTGTGTATGTCGTAACGCACGTAATGTCGTTTCCCTTTGGCCTCATTTGACTTCTCATTCTTGGTCCCAATATTACTGTTTACTAAATTTAACAAGTTCAGTGTGACATTCAAGACCATTCATAATGCTGTCTGTTGTTTAACGTAAATCTTTTGTTTGTTTGGGGTTTTTTTTGTCAGCTACATGCACTTTGAGCCAAAGTTTCTAAAGTTTCCGGCCAACTTCCTGTCATTTGTTCTCAGGTGAGATGGACCCCAAAGAACGTCTTGCATGCCAGAGAAAGCTTCTTCAGAAGAAGTTGGGTCTAGATATGGGTGCTGCTATTGGGATGAACACAGATGAGCTGTTCAACGATGAGGACCTGGACTATACCTGTCAACCCAATGCCCTCAGAGCACACGGAAGCAAAGCCACAGCTGGATCCAGCTCCGGAAACCACTTGGTGAGTCTCACTCGGACCTCTCGAGTCACCATATGTTAGCACACATTTTGTCTCTTTGAGTTTAATGAATTGTCAAAGGGAAGTCTTAAACGTACCTCTCAGTGTAGCCAGAACTTTTTAGGCTTAAAAGATGCTATTGCAGTTTATACCTACACCTGTTGCACTGCAGTATTAAACACTTGTCTGTGCCAGATTTGTTTTTGTTTTGTTTGTAAATGGGTCGTGTAGTTTGATTTTCATGTCGTGGGCCCTTTTTGTGAAGTTCTGCACGCTTCCTGTGAGTATGCACGGCATAGCAATAGAGTAGATTCATCATCTTTTTTTATTTCTGCCTCATCAATATTTGTGGCAGGTTCCAGTTGTTGAAACTGTCACTATGGTTCTTCATTTGCTGGAACACTTGTTTGCAGAAAGTCAAGCACAGGATGAGGAAATTAAAATGGTTTGTGTGTGAATAGGCAGAGGGAATGCTGTTGTTAAGTCAAATTGTTGAATGTTGTCATTGTGTTTCTTAAATTTGTAAAGTCTTAGTTCAAACTATAGAATCAAAGACATTCCTTTGTCTCTGACCACCTCTCCAGCCAATTTGGTGCTGGGTGAGGCTGACGTGGGTTTTATTGTAGATACATTGTATCTGAAAGATCTGTTTCTTGTGTTGTACACTTCCTGCTTTTATGATCCTTTTGGTGAGCAGGAACACACACACACACACAGTGATGACACAAACACGCACACACACACACACACACACACACACACACACACACACACACACACACACACACACACACAGTGCCTTGTCTTAGCACCATTGGGGGGTTTTACAGTGGGAGGTGCTTGTGCTGTGATGTGTATTGTAACAGTTTGTCAATAAATAGCTGCGAGGAGAGCTGCTCTTTGAAGGATTTGGGCTAGAGACAGGTGATGAGCATTATGCTCCACCACCTGGTTCTGACCAAAGCTCTCCCTTGTTAGCGAGTTAAAGACCGGTTGAAGATGTTCTGTCTTGTTTTTCGTTCTTCATGAGGAATAAGTCTCTAAACTAGCGGGGCCTGTGGAAACACAGACTCAACAGCTGTCAGCTTAGAGTTGCTGTTTATTATAATTGGAAAGTTTTCTTGAAACTGTATCCCCACTTTGAGATTCACTAGAGGAGGAATTTCTTAATTAACACCACTCTTTTGTTTTTTTTAGACCATTCAGGCAGCTGAATTGATCGACTCAGAGTTCCGACCAGGCATGAGCAGTCGTCAGAAAAATAAGGCTAAGAGGATGGCCAAGTTGGTAGCAAAGCAAAGATCCAGAGACATGGATCCTAATGAAAAGAGGTAGGACTATCTATATATTCTGGATTCTAATCAAAACTGTATGTTTGGAAAAGTGCATGTGTTTTATTTTACATGTTTTTTTTTGGTTTTGTTTTTTTTGTCAGCATACTTACAGTTTTTTAAGATTCGAGAGTTATCATATCCTGTGACTTTCATTTGTCTTTAACCTTTAGTAACGACAGTTTTGAAGGTGAACCTGAGGAGAAACGAAGAAAAACCACCAACGTAGTCACTGAGCAACCAGCAACAGAGCATAAGATCCTAGTCGACAACGTTCCGGATAACTCCAGTCTATTCGAGGAGGTAAGCAATCAGAAACAAGTCGGTGAAGCTGGTATAGATGACAGTGTCAGATAGCTGATGCGTTATTGTTTTCTCCTTAGACGAACGAGTGGCCTCTGGAGAGCTTCTGTGAGGAGCTTTGCAATGACCTCTTCAATCCCTCGTGGGAGGTAAAAACACAATACTTATTTTCACTTGATAATGTAAGTTGAATGAGAGGGGGTAGAGTGGGCTCAAAGAATAACCACGTGTGTTGTTTTTGTTTCTCAGGTTCGTCATGGTGCAGGCACCGGTCTTAGAGAAATCCTCAAGTCCCATGGTGCTGAGGGAGGGAAGGTGGTGGGAAGCACTGCAGAACAGGTAGGTCTCAACCACATCTTCAGGCTTTTTTTTTTTTTTTTTTAAACAGCTGAGTGAGAATCAGACATGACCCAGACTGTACTGATATTCTGATGCAGATGTTACGGCAGCATCAGGAATGGATAGAAGACGTGGTCATCCGGCTGCTGTGTGTCTTTGCTTTGGACCGCTTTGGCGATTTTGTATCTGATGAGGTAGGTTTGTTTGTTTATCAACAAATGTTTTTTGAACATATTTGTCCTAGCGTTTTTCCACTCCTTTGTACATTCCCTTACGTGCCTTACTGAAAGGTTCAGCAATCTCCATTCCAGGAATTTGCAGGCTGTGTAGGGACAATGCTAAAGGTTACTGGGTTTTTTTGTTGTTTGTTTGTTTGTTTTTTGTTTTGTTGTTGTTTTTTAAGTGTGACACATGTATATAATAAACATTTTTTTTGATTGGGTGCTACATTTCTTTATAAAATTCCTTCCAAAATCACTGTTTTCAAAGAAATTAAAGTAAATTCTCAGTAAATTATTAATTTAGCATAAACTAGGACTTCACAGATGCAGGGAATTGAGGTCTGATTGTGACAGTGTGTTACCATGTTTAGCCTGTAGGAGGAAGCCAAACTTTTTACTTATGTTTGTCAGATGTGTGTCACTCAGCTCAATCTGTGTCTTTGGCTTTGATTTTACTCTTTCTATCACAATCTTGCCCTCTTCCTTTTGACAGGTAGTGGCTCCTGTTAGGGAGACGTGTGCTCAGACACTGGGTGTGGCCCTTCGCCACATGAATGAATCTGGTGTTTCGAGGACGGTAGATGTCCTACTGAAGCTGCTGAAAGAGGACCAGTGGGAGGTGCGTCATGGAGGCCTGCTGGGAATCAAGTATACCTTGGCTGTTCGTCAGGTACACCCTCTCTATCACTGTGCATATGATGAGCTTTGAATAAGAATAGCAAGATTCGACATTGTATTTGATTCGAGTAGCGTGTGGCCATGAATGTGAATTGTGGGGAACAGGAGGTGTTATACTTGGACAAAAAGCTTTTTTCAGACTGGACGCATATGTTCTCGTTGTTCTCTCACTTTCTGATGCCGTATACACACATGCTGATTTTCATCTTCTCTTTTGTGTCAAAGGACTTGATTGCTGTTTTACTTCCCCGTGTGCTCCCTGCAATCACAGACGGCCTACAGGACTTGGATGACGATGTCAGGGCCGTGGCAGCTGCAGCCCTCATCCCTGTGGTCAGGGGCTTGGTGCAGCTACTGCCCAATAAGGTGTGAAACAAAACCAGTTTCAATTTCTGTGGTGAAATGTGCATTCTGTTAGTAGTTGAACTTTCTGCTGTCCTTGTTGCTTAATTTAGTCTGAAAACTTAATGTCTCTCAGGTACCCTTCATAGTGAACACACTATGGGATGCACTTTTAGACCTGGACGATCTGACTGCTTCCACCAATAGTATTATGACTTTGCTGTCCTCGCTGCTAACCTATCCACAGGTTCGACAATGCAGGTCAGTTTCAAGCTTATGCAAAAAAGAGACTAATAAAGTAATATATCAAAAAATACTGTTGATTTATTGAATAATAGGAGACTCACAATACCAGAAATTGGTTCCAGCGATTCCATATTTCAAACCTTGACTCCAAACCATACACAGCTTTTGCAGGGTGTCTTCATAAGAGCATTAAGTGCTGTCATAGAATTTTGTCAGTGACCTGACATTAACTGACACTATTAGTAACTTGGGGTGAAAGCCAACTCACAACAGTACTTTGTGTTAAACACTTTTTAAATGACCTAATTTTCCATAAAAGGGCACAAACAGACAATACACCCCACAGAACCACAAGCACAAAATTAGACGAGCGCCAACTCTTTAGCTATGACCCTTTTTTTTTTCTCATCCCAGCATGCAGCAGTCACTAACTGTTCTGGTTCCTCGGGTATGGCCATTCTTGAGACACACTATATCATCAGTAAGACGAGCAGCACTGGAAACGCTTTACACACTACTGTCTAAAGCTGACCAGGTAAAGATCTAACAATAATAATCGGATAGTACATCTACATGTATTTACAAAAATATGAGCAAAATATTTCTTTTGTTTTGTTTTTTTTAGCTCTTAATCCAGCTTTAAACTGAATTGCATCCCTAATAATAAGGTGGCGTTTTTGTGGTTTTGCTGTTCCAGAGCTGTGCAGCGTGGATAAATCCCATCCTACAAGACATGCTGCGGCATATCTTCCAGTCTTGCATACTAGAGAGCAATGAGGAAATCCTTGAACTGATCCTAAAGGTTTGTTACATGACTCACCTAACTACTTTGGGTTAAATGACAAACTCTGTCCAACTTTGGTTATAAAACACAGCTGGAATGATACAGACGATGCTGTATTGTCGATTTTTAATGTAAATGTTAAATTTTTTTTTTTTTTTATACTTGGATAGCACATATGGGAGACTTTGATTTTTTTGCATTGTTAATCTGCGTCTTTTATGTGCAGGTGTGGATGGAGCTGCTGTCTCAGGCCCCCCAACAGTATGTGGTAGCAGCCAGCTGTCCATGGATGGGTGCCTGGCTCTGTCTCATGATGCAAGCTTCCCACATTCCAATAGACCTGAACATGCTGCTGGAAGTAAAAGCCCGCTCCAAGGTTGTATACTTTATCTTTATACACATAAAAACTTTTATTTTCAGCGTATCTTTTGTTTTAGAAGTAGGAAGGAGCAATTTTACAGTGACAGGAATTAATATGATACATTTAAACAAAAGGTCAGCATGACATAATTTGGAATGATTCAGTGTTTCCACTTCTATTTTTATCAATGGGTTCATGCAAATAATGCAGATTCCCTATCACACAAGTCAGTGCACCTTGCTGTGGTTGCTAGGTTACAGACTGGCAGACAATAAGAGTCTTACAGCCATGTTCTGCATTTTTGAGCCAGTGGAGCTTAAACCTTAACCGTCTGGAGGAGGAAATAAGAGACAGAGGATGCACTGGCACACAGAAGCGTGCACCCACCCACCAAGTGGCTTAAATGCCGGTTTAACGAGGTGTGGCGGAACTGAGGAACAATAAAAAGAACTTGGGATGGACAGGTTTGCTTTGCATGTAATGAACTAATAGTGTTAAAAGAAGGGAAGCAGACAAATGTCTACAGAAGGTGTCTTTCCACTCTTAAAACCACGTCAAACATGTAGATTTGGCATCTTCTGAAATAAAACAAACTTTAACTAATATCATGTTGTTCAAACAGGATAAATGTGGCACAAAGGGACGTCAAGCAAGCAGTCAGGTGAAGGAAACTGTTCAGGAATATATAGCGGGTGCAGAGACGGTGACAGATGACCCAGTTACGAGGGACTATGTAGTAGTCCGTGCTCGACTTATGGCTGCCAAGTAAGTTTTCATAGTTATATTGAGAAGAAAACTCTTTAACTTAATGATCTTTAACTCTCAAGAAATAATTGGAATCGCTGACTAAGTGATCGAGGTTGCGTTTGCACTGACTGCTCTCTTTGTACCTGTGTAATCCAGATTGCTGGGGGCTTTGTGTCGGTGTATTTGTGACCCTCAACTCAATGCTGCATCCCAGGAGATCAGACCAGCAGAATCTTTGGCTCAGCTATTGCTCTTCCATCTCAACTCTAAGTCTGCCCTGCAGCGAATCGCAGTGGCATTAGTGCTTTGTGACTGGGCTGCACTGCAGAAGGTAAAAATCAGTTGTTGAGATTTTTTTTTTTTTTTGTTGTTGTTGTTAAATAAGATTAAGATTTATTGACTTGGCAGCAAAGCAGAATCGGGCTTTCAGAAGCTGAAAGGTTTTCTCGTATCTTTTCAGGATTGTCAGTTGGTGTCATCCACCGTGCTGCCTCGTCTTCTGGCCATTCTGTCTGAGCAGCTGTATTATGATGAGATCGCCATCCCCTTCACACGCATGCAGAATGAGTGCAAGCAGCTGATTGCACTGCTTGCTGATGCCAACATAGACCTCAAGGACCGCCTCAATTGTAACGTTTTCACCATTGATCAAGCCAGTGAGCTGGTAAGTCAGTACACACACATGTGCACTGATAAACCTTTGACACACGATTATCAGATTGGTGAAGCACTGTGATCTTTATTAGGATTTTGCAGCATGTTTGTCATCTAGGTATGGTGTCTCAACAAAACCATGAATGATTTTTGATCAAAAACTGTAACAATTCTTGGCTTCGAAGGTTAATGGATATTGCACTCTGTAACACATCAGACTCTTTTCAATCACACCCTTTATCCCCCTCCTGCTTGTTCCCTAGGTAACCACCATCTTTGCAGAGTCAACAGCCGGGTTTAATGTAAAGTCCAAGCAGTGGCCAGCCCTGGACAGCAAACGCCAGCAGGCTCAAGCGACTGTGATGGAGACCAGCACAGAATGGCAGCAGCTGCATCTGCGTGTGCACATGATCGCAGCCTGTGCCGTGATTAACCTGCAGGTGCTCCCCGACAAACTGAACCCACTCGTCAGGCCTCTGATGGAGGCCATCAAGAGGGAGGAGAACACCCTGATCCAAGGTTATGCTGCCTCTTTTATAGCCAAGCTGCTTCAACAGTGTGCCGGACGCTCGCCGTGCCCCAACCCTAAGATCATCAAAAACCTCTGTGCCTCAGCCTGTGTGGACTCTGCAACCACGCCCTCATCTGCTTGCCCCGTACCTCCGACACAGGAAAATGCCAAAGGTGAGACCTTTTGAAGCTTGGCTCTATTTTCAGTCTGTCAGCTACAAACAGGATTTTAAATTTGGGGTTTCAGTGATGTTTTAAAAGGTTTGACTCGTGAATATAAAAATCATGTGTTAACACTGATGGTTTTCTTAATTGTCATGCTTTCAGGGGGTGGCTTGGAGAAAGACGGCATGCATCACATGGTCAATAAATCTCGAGGTATCATCACTCTGTATCGCCACCAAAGAGCTGCGTTTGCCATCACCAGTAAGAGGGGTCCAGCTCCTAAAGCGCCAAAAAACCCAACCACAGAGCTTCCTCCTGGCAGCACCATCAGCTCAGAGAATGATGAGGTACAGAAGAACTAAAGTACATTTTTAACACATTGAGCTTAAAACCAACAACGCCATGTTGTCTTTACTGTTCTTGGTCTTTTTTTCTTTCATTTCAGAGCAGGAAGCCATTTCTTATTCAGAGACGAGGTGCAGAGTTCGCCCTAACAACCATTGCACGGCACTTTGGTGCAGACCTCACAAAGTCTCTGCCATACCTTTGGGAGAATACGGTGGGACCACTGACGTCAGTGGCAACAGAAAATCAGTGCATTGGTATGTTGATTATGTTGATCAGATTTTGATCTTTGATAGACACTGGTGAAAATATCGTCACCTTGATTTTCACCAATATAGATCTGTAACTGTCACTTAGGAACATAAACTGTGCTATTTTAGATTTCATTGTAGATATCTTAGAAACGAAAAGCTGTATAGAGTCTCATGAGTCAGTGATCAGTGGGATGAAAGGCCTCCTTTCACCGAACCGATTCTCTATATCCTTCCGTGTTTTCACATCGTTACGATGTACAGAGTTGTTACTCTGAATCATTGTGTTTCATGTGTTGTAGATAGGCAGGCCCAGCTGGAGAGGGGCGACGCTGCAGCTCAGGAATTGGTCAACTCTCTACAAGTACTTGAAGTCATGGCAGGAGCCATGGCTGCCGAACTCAAGCCTTTGGTAAGTTTGATCCATTTTGACTGATTTACTTTGATCATTTTTTTATGATTATCATGGATTTGGAATCCGTGACATCTTATGTAGATTGTTGGACTTTTCTGTTTTTTCCTGCAGTTATTGGAACACCTGCCCCATTTGTTCACCTGCCTCCAGCACCCATACACAGCAGTACGTCACATGGCAGCACGCTGTGTTGGTGTGCTTAGCAAGATAGCCACACTGGAGACCATGAACAGTTTCCTTGAGTGTGTATTACCCTGGTTAGCTGCTATTGATGACTGCACCAAACAAGAAGGCGCCATCGAGGCTTTAGCCTGTATCCTTCAGTGACATTACCTTTCAGTTTTTTAACCTTTCTGATATAAGAGCACTCCAGAACTGATTTATTTGTGCCTTTATTTAGTGTATTCCTGTGCTGTATTTTACTGTCCTTGACCAAGACTCCTGCAGGTGTCATGGAGCAGCTGGATGTGGACATCGTGCCCTACATCGTGCTGCTGGTGGTACCAGTGCTAGGCCGTATGAGCGACCCCAGCGACAGCATTCGTTTCATGGCCACACAGTGCTTTGCTACACTCATCCGCCTGCTGCCACTAGAGGTACGAGCACCCAGACAGCAGGCTAAAGTGCAGTTTTAATCATTATTTAATGTTTACATCAGGGATGTCAAACTCCTTTTACACTGTGACCTACATACAGGGTATAGAAGTTTAAGTACAAACTTGATCCCTGGGGTAGCTGTATATCAGAAAAAGAAGTACAATTGCCTCAAAATTTCTGCTGAGAAATAGTACTTTAGTAAATCTGTCGCCATGAATCCTGATCAGTAAGAAAGCTGTAAAACTTGTGAAAGTCCAGAATTTCTACCTACCTTTACATTTTCCACAGCTGTACAGTGGACAGGATTGGAGTCTTTGCTGGGCCAATTTTGGCCCCCGAGCCTTATGTTTGACACCTCTGGTTTGGACTCTGAGTAATGTATTTTCCTCTTTTCTACCAGGCGGGTATACCAGACCCTCCTGCCATGTCTGCTGACCTGATCCGGCAGAAAGCTAGAGAACGTCACTTCCTGGAGCAGCTGCTAGATGGCAGAAAGTTGGAGAACTACAAAATCCCGGTGCCCATTAAAGCAGAGCTCCGGAAGTACCAGCAGGTTTGTGTCACGTTTAAGGATGCCCACCCTGTGGATATTTTGACACACAAACAACTTCTGGAACATTTTAGTGCTTGAGCTGTCTCATCACCTCCAGTGTGACCGTATTTCTGCCACATTAAAGAGTGAGGTTCCCTTAAATGCGGAAGGCTGGCAACATAGATAGAGATGCTGACAACAAATGGTTTACTTTACAGTAAATTTTAAAGCAGTCAAATGGAGGTTAAGTAAATGTGCTGGCTCTTCTTTGAACTGGCTTCTAGCAGCTCTACTGAGAACGAATCTATCTCTGTAATACAGAAGTGAAGACATCCTGTTTGAAATGTTGCTGAAATCGCTGCCACATCCTCAGCATCACTAATGTAACTGACTCATAGGCACTGAAACTGATGGGTGTCATTGAAGAGATTGTTTTGATGACTTTTGTCTAATCATTAGTATGATTAACCAGTGAAACCTTGATATTCAGTGTTGTGGTATTTGAGCGTTGGTGTGTTTAATCTTGCAGGATGGAGTGAACTGGTTAGCATTCCTGAACAAATACAAGCTGCATGGGATCCTGTGTGACGACATGGGTCTCGGCAAGACGCTGCAGTCCATCTGCATTCTGGCAGGCGATCACTACCTCAGGTACTAACAGCACTGTTGCAGAGATGGAGTACGTGCACAAATATATTATCTGTTTAAACAGTGATATGCTACTCTATGCAGTCATTGTCAGAGGCTTGATAAGTGTGAGTTGTTTTACGCCCATTTTTAATGTGGTTTAAATGCAGACAAAACACGAGTAACCTCCACGAGAATAATTTTTATAGGTATTACTCGTCCACATGCCTTATTGCCCAATAAAAGACAGAATATGGTTTGACAGCTTGAATACCAGCGGTGGTCTGTCCAGGCTCGGCGCATTCTTAAAGCTGCCTTTGATCTTTGACCTTTAAAACTCTGATCCAGTCTCATGTTTGAAGCGCTGTGTTAGAAATTGTGACTCAGTGTGTGTGTGTGTGTGTGCGTGTGTGTGTGTGTGCGCGCGCGCTTCAGGGCACAGGAATATGCCAAGACTAAAGCAGCAGACTGCAGCCCCCTGCCCTCTCTGGTGGTGTGTCCTCCCACGCTGACTGGCCACTGGGTGGACGAAGTGGGCAAGTTCTGCGCCAAAGAGTACCTCAACCCGCTGCACTACACTGGGCCTCCTACAGAGCGGATGCGGTAAGGATTAGTCAGAGTTTACTGCAGGAGAATGATTCATGCTCTCATTTTTTTTGTAAAATTGAATAAGTGAGGAAGAACAGTTTGTGTGTGGGTAGAGATAAATGCATTTATTTGAAGCTAAGTAAACATGTACTTCTTTTCAGGCTGCAACACCAAGTGAAAAAACACAATCTTGTTGTAGCCTCTTACGATGTTGTCCGAAATGACATAGATTTTTTTAGGTGAGTGCTACTCCAAAGGTTTTTTGTTTTTGTTTTTTTTCTGTTTGTTTTGTTTGTTTGTTTTTCTCTGTTTGTTTTTGTGTTTTCTGTTCTGCATTTTAAAGTGATTTTATTTCTTTTTACTTTTCTAGAAATATAAAATTTAATTACTGTATCCTCGATGAGGGTCATGTGATCAAGAATGGGAAAACCAAACTGTCCAAAGCCATAAAACAATTGGCTGCCAACTTCCGAGTCATTTTGTCAGGAACGCCCATTCAGGTGAGGCTTCCTTTGTGATCTGAAAAGGAAATGGAGATTTCCATTCTTTCCATGTTTTCTGCAGCTCAGAGTGGAATAATGTTTAATGCTCTAACTTCAGAATAATGTCTTGGAGCTCTGGTCGTTGTTCGACTTCCTAATGCCGGGCTTCCTCGGAACAGAAAGGCAGTTTGCTGCACGCTACGGTAAACCAATCCTAGCCAGCCGAGACGCCAAAAGCTCATCGAGGGAGCAGGAGGCAGGTATGTGAACCCCCTAGTTTTTGTTTGTTTGTCTTTTCAGATATTAGATTTTCTCTCATTCTATCTGGTTACTCTTACTGAATATGGCCTACCATTAATGTTGCCTTCTCCATGTAGGAGTCCTGGCAATGGAGGCCCTGCATCGACAGGTACTACCCTTCCTTCTGAGGAGGATGAAGGAGGATGTCCTCCAGGATCTTCCTCCTAAAATAATTCAGGACTATTACTGCAACCTGAGCCCTCTACAGGTATTGACCCATAATGACCTTGGAGACATTCCACATTAGTATGATGAACAGTAGTTTGAATGTGTGTTTGCAAAGTCTTGGTTGGAATCCATGCTGGTAAAACTTTTTAGTGGCAGAGTTTTATTGATTTTGGCTTCGTCACTTCCTGCAGGTTCAGCTGTATGAAGACTTTGCAAAGTCTAGAGCCAAGGCCAGTGTGGATGACAGCATCTCTGTAGCTTCTACAGAGGAGGAGGAAAAGCCCAAGCTGAAGGCCACAGGCCATGTCTTCCAGGTATGTGTGGTTTGATAAATGTGGTCTTTGCGGTTCATATGTGAAGAAAGTTTGTCCTGACCATAATGTGTAGCTTTGAATTGTTCCTTTCTGGTAAATGGAAAAGCAAATGTTTCTTAAATATTTATGCAGTAGAATATGGTGCCTGCATACCCCCCACATATTTTCCACACCATGGCAGAAAATAAGACAGACAAAACAGTGGCCTGCTCATGAACACTGTAGGCTTATAATCTCTCTTTTGCCTTTTACCCTTAAAATTTGACATTTGGAGATTTGACTTGTCAGTGAGGGAATTCTTGCTTGTCAGTGTCACACGGTTTCCTCATTTGTCCTCCTGATGACTGACATCTTAAAATCTGTATCAATGTTTTTTATTATTTGCATCTTATAAAACCTTACGTGAGTTTTTAACAGTCTTTCCTTTGCTGATGGTTCCCCGTGTTAATAGTTGGGTTCATGTCTTCATTCTTTAAGGCGCTGCAGTACCTGCGGAAGCTGTGTAACCACCCCAGCTTGGTCTTGACCCCTCAGCATCCAGAGTACAAACGCATCACTGAGCAGCTGGCAGGACAGAACTCAAGCTTGCGAGACATTCAGCACGCGCCAAAACTATCTGCTCTCAAACAGGTGAGATATCACTCTTCAGGTCATCTTTCTCACGTCTTCCGTGGACCAAGTGTTTGATCCTGATAACTTTTTGATTTTACACAAAGATATGTAGGAAGAAGAGCTTCTATAAGGATGTTTGTTGTATTCAGTTATCCAACCGTTCACTTGTATCTGATTTCAAAGATGCCCCATGCCTTCAGTCTAACACGTTTCTGCTCTCAGCTGCTGTTGGACTGCGGACTTGGTGGTGGTGGTGGAGGATCAGAGGGGGCCACTGAGGCAGTGGTGGCCCAACATCGTGTGCTAATCTTCTGTCAGCTGAAGAGTATGCTGGATATCGTTGAACATGACCTGCTGAAACCCAGACTGCCCACCGTCACATACCTGAGGCTGGATGGCAGCGTGCAGGCCGGCCAACGTCACTCTATAGTTTCCAGGTTAGCTCATCTGTACAGTTGCTCGCTGTCAAACACAGAAGTCTGCTCAATGCGAGTTTGCTAAATGAATGCAAGACTAGGATTTCTTCTTTCTGTGCCTCAGGTTTAACAATGACCCATCAATAGATGTGCTGTTGCTGACCACCCATGTTGGTGGTCTGGGTTTGAACCTGACTGGTGCAGATACCGTGGTGTTTGTGGAGCATGACTGGAACCCAATGAGGGACCTGCAGGCCATGGACCGTGCCCATAGGATAGGACAGGTACTGTTGTTGAACACACTTGCTCAGCAGAATATTAGTGTGTAGACAGATTTAGGCAGTCCAGGTTGTTTTGATGACTCTTAACCTTCCTCTGGCACTGAAATTGCACAATCAAATCCCGCGTAAAGAATTGACTTTCTTTTAGTTTCACATTGGATCAGCCTTGGATTGTATTAAGAGGCTGCTGCTGTCTAAAGCTAGTGATGCAAAGAGAAGCAGTTGAAATTAGATTGGCATGAAAGCATTTAGTACGTTCCATTTGTCTTTTGCAGAAACGGGTGGTGAACGTGTACAGGCTGATCACACGAGGTACGCTGGAGGAGAAGATCATGGGACTGCAGAAGTTCAAGATGAGCATCGCTAACACTGTTATAAGCCAAGAGAACGCCAGCCTGCAGAGCATGGGCACAGACCAGCTCCTCAACCTCTTCACACTCGACAAGGTGAGAGCAGCTCTGTCCTCTAGTGTTTGTACTATTGTTACTGATTTCTAATAACAGTCAAATGTTTATGTTCTCCACTAACACATGCACGCATCTTTCCCCTGTGTTTGGCTGAACTCCCTTGTCTGTAAATGTGTTTCAGGAGGATAAAGGTGAGAAGGCTGAGAAGGGCGAGCAGTCATCAACCTCAGGAAAGACTTCCATGAAGTCAGTGCTGGACAGCTTGGGAGAGCTGTGGGACCAGCAGCAGTACGATTCAGAGTACAACCTGGACAGCTTCATGCACTCTCTGCAGTAGCACTGTGTGCAAGTCCACCCAGCATCCATCAGGCGTCTCGCCCTCTGGCCGAGCAGGACCCGGTCAGAGCGCGAGGAGACCCCTATTGCTGCAGCCACATGCCTAACACCGCCACCTTAAATAGAGTAACGTTAAGGAGTTCCTGAAGGATAATACTCTCAGTACATTTCCCACTGCGATTACTTACCCACAGCCAAAGACCTGAATCGTTGTCGTTCTACAGTTGATAGGTATGCTGCAACATCACTCAAACTTATTCTCATGAGGTAAGTTACCCAGGTCCTTTGCAAACCTGAGAGAATAAAACCATGTGATGATGTAACAACTGTGAAAGACGTCGTCTACAGTAGCGGAACGTTTTCCACTCTTTCAAGTGCACAGTGTTTCATAAGTAAAGTTATCATTTATAGTTACAGCAGCAGGCGCTACTTTTACAGCCCGCTACCCTCTGCTCATATCACATTGCCAGAGTAAACAGTGTTAACTGCTTCAGATGTTACTACCTAGATGCACCTTCCTCATGTGCGCCCTCTTCTACTACCGCCGCCACCTCTCACAAAGTCTTAAAACACCGTTATACCCACCTCTCTGCCTGATGGATACAAACATGTTTTTGTATGAGAAAAGGAAACAGGGAGAGAGTAACAAGAAGCCACAGGATGCTGTCACACAGTGCTGACTTTTTATAGCACAACGCTGAGCTCAGGAGCGGGTTGTGCTATGTCAAGACGACTCCCGTTCTTCAGACCATGCCCTGGAAGAGTCTGTTCACAAAAAATGTGGTCATCAGGAGGCCCTGTTTGAGAAACTATATTCTGTGTCCACCTTCTCCACATGTACTGTAAAGAGATTGACCCGGGAAAGCACTGCGCGTCAAAGCAAGTTTACAGAGATGGAACTGAGGAGGCCAAGCTGTGGCTGGTACCTGAAACTTGTCATAAGTATTTTTAAAAAATGAATAGACTTGTACATAATTGTCTAATTGCTGCTTTTTGTTTATGATCTTGGGATTGTAATAAATTCTACAAACCTTTGAGTCATGTATTTGTCTTTGGACATCAATGGCCAGTAGATGGTGTGGTTGTACATCCAGGGAAAATAAAAACTAGAAGTGAATACATGTAACACATTTCCACATTGGTCTAATTTGAACCTAGGTAAATGCAAAATTTACCACTCCACAGGAAAGCATGGTTCAAATGGATCGGTGGGTAAATTTAATTTGTCTGATGCTAATTTGTAACTTTCTAAAGACATCTTGTACAAAAAGTGCTCAGAAAAGTAGGAATTTTATCAGAGGAAGGAGATTGTGCTATGTTTTGTTTCTTTTAAGCTAACGTTACAGTGTGTTTTTCATTCTCACAGCTTGACCTTTACATTTTCCAGTGTAATTTGTAAGTGGCCCAAGAGCACAGACCTTTAAATGTTACTGCGGGGGCCAAAGAGCGTAATGAAAGTTAGTATTGACAGATTTTTATTTTTCATGTTGGGGGGGGGTTGCAGCAACAAACTCAGAAGCGGTAGTAAGCAGTAGCAGCATTAGAGCTCCATGTTTTTGAGTCACAGTCATACTGCAAATAATTAAGACAACAGAGGTCCAAGTCAACAATCATCAAATCCTCACAGAGGTGGAACCAGTGCTCCAGTCGGGTAATAAAAACTTTTAAACTAAAAGGCATTAAAAGCAGTGGGATGTTTTTTGTGGGGGAAAGGAGCATATTCCTGTTATAAGATCACAACATGAGACCTCCAGTGCTCGTCTACCCAGGGAGCGCCCATGAAACAGCAGGGACAATGCGGTACGCTATCCAGATCGACATGAAGCGCGTATCCGTAGACAGGAATGTAGATGTTAGATGTATAGATATAAAATGGTTGGCATCATCCGAATCATGATCTTTTTCATTTGTACGCACACTTGATTAAACAGATATAAAATGTTGTCATTAGGGTTTTTTTTTTTTAGTGCCAAAGAAACTGGCAGGGGGGGCAGTTAACTTAGAGGGGTTGTGAAAAGCATTAGTATAAACTGGTTTTAAAAAAAAAGGCCAACCAGACCAATACAGACATTTCTCCAACCTTTCTCCTCCCAAAACATCCAAACAAACTCAGCATTAGCTCAGAGTAGGTTCATTAATCATAGTGACTTGATTGTTTGATTATTATTGTTACTATTATTTGATTCTGCTTTGGCTCATATTGCTGCCAGTGGACACCAAAGCATGCTCTGAAGACAAAGCTTTGACTGACACTGCAGACTGCACCTACTTTGGGATCACCCTATCCTGATAAACCTATTCACCCAGACAGCGGATGAAAAGGGTGGATGTTTTGTTGCAGGAACGTGGGGAAGGACAAAGACCAGCAGGCCTTCCTTTAACTGCAAGCAGTAGCAGCAGCTGAAAAGGCATTCTAGCATCACATGGGCCTGTGAGCCATTCATATACATATTCATATGGTTCAAGCAGCCCTTCCACCTAAAACAAAGTTACACCTTTTCAGACCAGGAGACTGGGTGCTTATCGGAGATCTCCAGAGAACCAGCTGGGATGAGAAATGGTGGAATGGCCCATTTCAGGTACTGCTGACAATCCAGACAGGAGTCAAAGTTGCAGGCTGTGCCACTTGGGTCCCTGTCATCCATTGCAAGAGGATTACAGAACCACAGTAATAACCCAAAGGGTTAAAAAAAATTCCATATTGACGATGAAGAAGACAACAAGGGTGTACAATGTGCTCTCCCCTTTCAACCTACAGCTATGCTGGAACGAAAGAGTGAGGGGTGAAAGAGCGCCCTCCTCCAACAAGAGGATTTCTTATTACTGCTATATTTTGCATACAAATTTTATCCTACAAGAGTGATTAGAAATAATTAAAAGGGTGGAAATATAGCAGAAAAATGTGTGTTTCACCTTATTAAACCTCAGTGTACTGTTGTTATTTAGCTGTAATAAACTAATTATAAACTGTGTTTATAATGATAAACACAAAGATTGTATCTACACTATAAAGGAGCCGTTATTATTTTGCCTGTTTGTCATTGCTGGTATGAACCCTGCTCTGGCTGGATTGATCCCTTTCAATAAATCTCAATAACTTTCTTTCAATACAGTATATCTCAGAAAATCAGTCTGGTTTTGATGCTCAATTTCTTTTTCCACAACAGGAAACTGTTTGTGTTCTACACTTGACTCACAAAACTCAGAGAGATGGAACAAAAGGTAGAGCAGGCCACCTGCTAATTAGACGGTTGGTGGTTCAGTCCCCGTCTGCTCCAGTCTGCATGCCAAAGATCCTTGAGCAAGATACTAACTCCAAGTTGCTCTTTGATGGATGGATCCGTAGGACTATGAATGTGTGTGAATGATAGATAGAAAGCACTTACATAGAAAAAAGTGCATGGGTGACTGAGGCAAGTTGTATAAAAAGCACTTTGAGTGCTCCGTTTTAGTCCATTTAGCTTTAACACACCCTTGTCGTGATTCCTGGTTCACTGACCCAGTATTTTGAGTTTTGTGAGTTCTTGATTTACCTTGGGTTTATGAAGTTATTTATGTTCTTGCTCTTCAGTGTTTCATCCTTTCAGTATAATATTTTCCAGCACATCTCTGTAGTGTGCACTTCCAGTCTGATTTTGTCAGTGCCTTGTTTTTAGTTACATTTCTGTCATTTGCTGTGTATGTTATTTTCGTGTACTTAGTTTGGTTATAGTTCTTGTCTTGTTACGTTAGTGCCCCACCTTCCCTCTGTCTCCCTCTCTTTCTCTGAACTGACAGATATGTGAAATTATCTGATACTTACCCTTTTTGATTCCTTCTCTTTAGCGCTAGCTAGATTCTCACGTACAGTGACTACAACTTTGTATAACTGCTATAAATTGTACTGCTGAACCTGAAGTAATGAGTCTGTTGTGAAAATGTAAGAAGCAGAAATTAGAGATAACATTTGTTTAAAAATGTAGTGAGTAAGTGTAAAAAGTGTCAGTTTCTCTGTCCTGGATTATTCTGTTTTAATGGGATAACTGACAGTCATCCCAGCAAGAAGGCACAAGGCAAGCCATTTGCTGCCACCTATAGGTTAGTTTTGCACATTTACACTTCACTCAATCACCTGTTAAACATCACATGAAGCTGTCGCAAGATTAACTGACTGTAAAGCAAATTGATGACTGAAAGCTGTTGGGTGTTTACTTACTTTTCATCTTTTAAAAGTTCATTATGAGCCAAACAAACACAGTGAACACTCAAGCACATTGTTCTAGATTATTATTGTGTTAATCTGAATAACCTTCCAATAATTCACAATATAACGTCTCTTTTTTCCTTTTATTTTTCTTTTTTCTTTTCTTTTCTTCTCCTTTTTTTCTTTTTCATAATATAACTTGAGCTGACCTCAAGAAGTATTAAATAAAGAATCCACTTTATTTTCTTTCTATGCATTCTGTAATGTTATATTTTTGCCAATTTATGGAAATGTCATGATGTGATGGACAGTGTTGGGCAAGTTACTTTGGAAAAGCAATTAGTTATAGTTACTTGTTACTTAAAAAAATAAAAAGTAGCACAACCTCACATGTCATATTGTATTAACACAAATGATCTAAAATCAGACAAAAAAAAAGTAACAACCACAAACATGTTTCATGAATCATTAACTTGAAATGCAACTATAAATTGTAAATTTTAAAAACCTATGCACAAGTTTTGTAAACAAGAAAGTTATTTGCAGCTATTTGTAAAAATGCAGCCAAGTTTTGTTTTTTGTTTTTTTGTTTTAAATAACCATTTCCAGCTATTTACAGAACAATCAGGTGTTCTGCATCAAATAAGATGCCACGCAAATTATTTGTGCCAGTTTAAAAAATAATTTTTGTCCACTTGAAGATAGACGAGAACATCACAAGCCTGATAGCTGCAGGCCTGACAGCAGGTGTATCACTCCTGTTTTCCACCTGGAGACAGCGTTGCAGTCTGCACGTCTTCAAGAAGAAGAAAGGCCTGAATCTACAGATCTATGAGCAAGATTTTCCTAACTGACTTCAAACGTTTGAGCTGTTTTTAATGATAGTGCATGGTTATTGATTACAGCAGATCATATAGGAGTATCAGGACACTGAAGAGACTGTTAAATAGATATGAGCAAAGGTGGAGTCTGTCATCCTTAAAATGCTCCTACGATAGGCAGCTGGCAGGATTGAATGACGCCTCTTTGGTGAAGTACAGATACAGGCTGTAAGCAACCATGAGCCACTGTGTGACAAACTAATAAACATGCATAATGTAGATTTGGTAAACACATAGGAGCCACTAATATGAGAAAATGAATGAGTTAGGGAGAGTTTGCTATCAGTCTCGGAACTGTTCAACTCAATTTGTTTGCAGACAGAGCTAAAATGTTGCGACTTTGTTTAAAACTGGTGACAAAATTCTGATCAGATACAACCAGAGATGGGCAGTAACGTGTTACTTGTAACGTTAAAAGGTTATAAAACAAATTTTAAAAAGAGACTTTTCCATTTGATTACATTTTGTATGATGGATTATGCAGAAAAAGTAGAATTGGGCTGAAAGATCTATCGCTTTATCACCTATTCAGGTTGTAAATCGTGTTTTTAAAAAGTAACTAAGTAATTAATTACTTTTGAAAATAAGTAATCAGTAAAGTAACGGGATTACTTTTTAAGGGAAGTAATCAGTAATTAGTTACTGATTACTTTTTTCAAGTAACTTGACCAACACTGGCTACAACTACATACAACATACAACATACAATATACACCACTGCTCAAGTGTTTGGGTCAGGTTGAGCGGTCCTTGTTTTTAATTTAAAAAGAACGATCACATTTGATTTCCTGTAAATTCACCATACTTTCTTTGGTTGTTTTGTTCTTACTTTCTCTTTTCCCTCACCCCAGTGTGTCCCCAACGATGTGGCATGTGGCTGACCCTCACTGGGTCTGGTTTATCCTGTTAAGAGGGACTTTTTCCACCCCACTGTGTCCACATGCTTGCTCATTATTTGATTGTTGGTGTTCTTTTATGTGTATACTTTGTGTATGGACTATACTTTTGTAAACATTTTAGAAAAGATAATTAAATGCAGTATGGACATTGGGTGTAGGCTGCAGGAATGTGGAAAGATAAGAAATATGTGACCAACCCATCATTACACATGATTCTAAATAACGGTTTTAATTATGTTGTACACAAACATAACTGAAATGTGATTCTGATGATAGTTAATCATGCTTGATTGCTCAATACTGATACAAATTTAGGTGTTTCTGACTGTAATCCACTTTCTGTACAGTAGGCAGACCTAAAACAACCTTTTAAGCATCATTGTGTTCATAAAAATGGGCGTCATACATAACAGTCCATCATTTTTGGAGTTATCGCTTTTAGAAATTTCTACATCAATGACATTGAGCCTTATTAAGGAAAGCTACCATACCTGTTTGACTCTTAAAAAGCTACAATGCTTAAACCGACACAGTGATGAGCTGTTATCGTGTTGGAGGACTACTTCCTGCACACAACTGCAGGAACTCAATACCTCAGGCCAAGAAAGCAGTTCATGAAAGTACTCGTGGCACTGTAATGTTTAATTTCTGCCGTTTATTGAGATAAAACGTAATCTCGATGTTGGTGAGCTTTAGACATGCAGCCTCTGCTAGCTCTGGACAACATAAAGGTTGCCATTTCTGAGCTTCCAGTCTTTTTTTGAGCTAAAGTTAACTTATCGTAACTGTAAGGAGGAAGATTAGGGCCAGTGAAGGAAATAAAGAACATTTATACAGTTCAGAGTTTTCTCATAATTGTGAATCTTTGAAATCTCAGAATCCTGAGAATTTAGTGAGAATGTTTAATATGAAGTCTGAGAATTCAGAATTTTTGAAGAAAAAAAGAAAGGGGAGAATTCTGACTTTTCTTAGAATTCTGCATTTTGAGAATTATGTTTTTGTTTTGTTTGTTTGTTTGTTTGCTTGTTTCGTTTTTTTAGATTTCATGAATCCACATCCTTGGCGGAAAAATTCTGAATTCTCAGAATGCAAAAATTCTGAAAAATCTTTTTTTTTTTTAAATCTCAAAATTCTTACTTCTTACTTTTTCCTCTTTGTATTCTGGGAAAAAGCAACTTTTTGATTCGCCCTACATAATGACTACAGCTTAAAGCAGACTGGCCCCCCAAAAGACCTCTCACCTCAGACCACTAAAGCTCACCAAGCTACAATACTATCTCCTTAACAAATCTGTAAAGAACAAAATCGAACGAGATGCAGTTTTACAAATTCATTTCTGCAGCTATGTTCAATGCTTGGTTCAGCTAACAGCCTCCATGTTTATTGATGAATACAGCAGGAGAGACAGGAGTCAGTTTTTCTCAAATAAAATATTCAAACGTCAAACCGTTCTTTCCTTGAAGGCAGGAAAAAGGGTGAAAGTACAGATATATATATAGAGCAGCCACATTAGGCCCATGCCTGCTATAAATGATTAATATTGTACAGGTCACACATGCTCCTTCCAATTTCTATATGTATCATACAGTGCAGCTACGTTTACATTCATACTTAAATACAGTCACACCGGTGTGCTCTGTGGGGACTGAACCGCGTACAGCATGTGTCACTGGTGTTTTTAGAAGGATCTGCTGAGGAGAATAAAGTATGTGAGCTAATGAGTAGCAATTACTGGAACATAGCACTGAGTAGCAACAGCAGTAAACGGTCAGTGGTGTCACCCATCTTCCACAATTACATCACAACATACTACATGTATGCTCCATTCTGCCATTTTTATTTTATTGCCCATTCATCTGTTTACATTGCGAATCACTTAAACATCACCAACCACCAATCTGTTTCTTTGTGAGTAGGGTTGTTTTTTTTTCATCTTTAGATCATTTTCACACTAATGTAAGCAACATCAGCAAGTTATAACACATAAAGCTTAGCATTTCAAGAAACGAGACACTTTAGTAACAATATTACAAAGGGGTTTTTTCATAGCTTCCAAAAAAATGAAAAAGTGAACAAATGGAAAAAAAATAAACTTTTAAAGAATTAGCATAATAAAAATTAATTTATTCCAAGTAAAAATACAAAATAATATTAATGACATTGACCAGATATGAAAGTCTCCCCCAGAAATAACTATTAATGGTTGAGAAATAAGTCTGTAAAGAAAAAACATGAAATAAAAATGAAAATATGCAAATATGTTTAAATTCTTCTTTTGTTTTTTAGCAAAACTTTCTAAAAATAATGAAAATTTCTCAGTACAAAGGCTACATTACTACTGGAAGGTACTAGCAGGTAGAGTAGGTAAATACACAGTAGAAAATGATTTTTAGTGAATCACAATGCTTGCAATGAAAATAATTCTGCAGTAAAGATTTATGCCTCTTTTTTCTTGTTTTCTTCTTTTCTACAAACAGTACAAACAGTATTGCACATTACGACAAAGAATCAAGGTTGTTAGCCTTTAAAAAAAAAGGGACTAATTCAAGTCTTGCTAGAATAGAAGGCCACCAGTCTATTGATGCACCTTGGGGGCTTCAGATCAAGTTACAGGTGAAAACACTTGTGTCTGTTTTGTGGTAAAAATAACATTCTTTTCACTCTACCTCCAGCCGTGACTCTCACAAGTCTTTCTCGTCGGGCTAACGAATCGGGGTTGCTCTTTTTTCCCTCTTTTTTTCTTACAAAAACAAAAAAGGGAGCACAAACGTTTAGGAAACATAAAAAACTTCTCTTAAAAAAATAACGAACAGAAGATCTCTTTCACAACTCTGGTCAGCATAGTAAATGATTGATTAGAAATATACAAAAAGGTGGGAAATATGTGTCGTTTTCCTCTTTGAGCACCTTATATTCGATTTCCTTAAAGAGCTCTCCTCCCTCCGATGTTTCGACCAGTGGGGCGCTCACCCTCGCTGCCACTGTAATAAAGTAGACTCTCACTAACTACATATTATTAGTATAAAGCTCTAGCTCCTTCAGTTGTTGTCTTTTTCCAAAAAAATAAAATAATTAATTCTTAAAATAAAAGCAAACTTTAAAAAAAGCATGATAAGATTTAAAAAAGAAAAATCAACCATCTGTTAAATCATTTCTCTTGAAGAATTAAATTAATATATATTTCTCATCTGAATAAACTTACTTAGAAAATATCTTTTTCTCTCCTAATATATTTCAAAATTGAGGTATTGCAAAAGATCTTGTCAGTCAGAAAGCACACTTTATCTCTCTTTTTTTTGTCTTTTAACAAAAAGAACAGCTGACTGTTGAAAACTGGTCAGATACAAAGAGTAGTGCATAACAAATAGCTATTATAGAGAAGGAACAAACATAGAAAACCTTTTTTTTCTGGGTGGGGAAAGAAATGTCACAAAAAATACCCAGAATTCACTTTCATAGGGATGCTTATTATTACTCATGGTTAGCCTCAGTTAAGAAGAAAAAACGTATTGTTGCTTAGTTTCGATTTCTTGGTGAAAAAACAAACAAACACACAGTTTAACTGAGTAAAATGGAAAGAGAGGAGAGGGACTGCAGGGGCGCCAATCACAACTCACGGAATTAAGGAAAAGGGGAAGGGGTAACACGCGATAACTCGCAATGTTTCATGATCTCTTTCAGATTGTCCACATGACAGATAAAACCAGTGTGATGGGGCCCAGCCTCCTAAAAAAAAAAAAAAAAAAAAAAAGCATACCCTCCCCGTCTTCAGCAGTCAATACTTAAAGTTTCTATGCATTGCATCCACCTACCCGCCCATTCCTGTTTAAACTGCACCATAACCTTTTGATAAAAACAAAAATATATATCTATATGTCCACCTTTTTTTTCTTTTTTTTAAGCAGGTCCATTACTTCAAGCTTTGCAGGAAAATAAAAATCTGGATAAATGTGGTAATCCCAGTTTGCACATCTGCATGTTCCGGCAACCCTCCTCCTTCCCACCCATCCCTACCCCTTCCCATTTAGCGAGAGCATGTGCAGGGCTCAGTTTATCAAGTGTCCAGTAGCTTCAGTGTTAAGTTTGACTCCTCGCCCCTAAACGCCTCTCTCTTTTTTTTTCCCTCATCCGATCTGCTGCGCCCACGTACCGTCCAGTTTCCTCATCCCGTGTGTCAGGTGGTCTCTGTTAAACAAAGTCGAACACGTGAGCTCTTTGGTTGCACTCTGGGACGTAAACGTGCGCTTTTTCTCAATGGTGGAAAAATAAAAGGATAATTTCAACTCAGTTCTCAGTCTAAGCTCACATTGGTTGCGTCTCCTCGGACCCAGTTAATGTGCATTTAATAAAAATTAAAAAAAAGATCGACAGCCGTCCGAGTACACATGTGAGAGACTTCTGTGTGTACTGGTGCAAGAGTGTGTGTGTGTGTACGTGTGTGCAAGTAAGTGTGTGTACAAGAGAACATATATACGTGTGCATACACTAGTTATGACATTTCACAGGACTTCTATGTCGGACACTGACGACAGTTAAAGCGAATCACAGTTCTAGGCATACTCAGACCTAACTACGTACTGTATAAAAAAATTGCACAATTCTATCAACAATCACTGCAAAAAAGGGAAAAAAGTACTTCACCTATCAGACAGTTTTTTTGTTTTAATGGTAATCCTACATTTTTTTTTTGGATTTGTGATTATTAAGGTTTTGTCTTTATCATATTATCTGGATGCCTGTTTGTGCAGGAACCCTCTGGTTCCTCTGACCAGCTTTTCCCTGTATCTGTCCAGTTTGGTGTGAGTCAAACGTACGTCTGTAGTGTGCTGTGCAAACATGGGCAGAATCGAATAGACGTGATATTGAAAAAGTCTATTGCATGCAGCAACCTGATTGAAATAAACATGCAGTTAGGGGGCGACCCTCCCCATCCCCCCCCCGCCCGGTCCCCACACACGCACGCACGCACACACACACACACACACACACACACACACACACACACACACAAAAGTTAGCCGTCTCTGCCTGGGGGCGCCCCCTCCCCCTGCCACGGCTCTCATTTAATTTAGGAGGAAAAAAAAAGAAAACGTAAAAAAACCCACCAGGTGCTTCTCTCTACATCTGCTGTTATTTTACACCCTAGCCTGAATAAAGTTATGGTATCTGTTTATACCATGGATTTAGCAGCAAAGCTATTGCAGCATTACATTTACATAACACTAAAAAATAATGTTATTATCAAAAATAAAGACCTAGAAAGCAAACTGATCTGATTGCGCATATGAGGTATTAATATTTTCAGAGTCAAAATGGAGAGCGAATATAGCCGTGTTATTTTTTTTCTTGTTAACTCCACACTACTGGATAGCTGTTGAATCTTGCTACATCTTATGTCACCTATTTTGCTCCTCAGTATGCATTAATTTCATTTGCCTTTGGTAGTTCTTTTTTCTTCTTAAATCAGGGGCAATATAACTACAGGTTTTGAAAATAAGTGCATGCTCCTTTTACGTAAAATTTAAATTATCTATAGATGTATAGATAGGTACAAAACAAAATATATATATTTATATATATTTATATATGTATATTTTAAATATTTGCATGGTCCCACCTCTGTCTTAGTAAAGGGGAGGGAGGTCCAACAGGACGTACCGCACCACCTAGTCAACAGAACAGGGAACTAAAAGTAGCCAGGGGCCTAACATACCATCCTGTGTGCGTGTGTGTTTGTGTGTGTGTGTGTTTAGTAAGATTTTGTGCCAAAGTGCAAATTCTAAGCTCATGGATTTTCGCATTTCAATTCCCCCACAAAGCTTCATCGTCGGGGGGAACACTAGACGATGAGTTCAGAGCTGTGTGCTGTGAAGAAAGTCCCATGTGTTTGATGGTATCACTTCTGCCTTTTTTTTAATCATGAGGTGTTTGTGGGATGCAGGGTGGATGGATGGGGCTTTGGGGAGGAGGGTTCCAGCGCTGTCCCGGGCTGCAGGAGGATTTTTTGGGGGCAGGTTGGCGTGGGTTCACTGGGGAGGAGGGGCGGGGGGTTAGGCAGGGCTGGCTCTTGGACTCAACCAACTCCCTCAGCTCCAGCGGAAGGACACGTGTCGAGGGCGGTCGCCCCCTTCCTTCACCAGTGGCTTGTGAAACTCTCGGCCGGCTCGTGAGTGGATGCTGGCCCAGCAGTACTCGCAGTAGTACTGCAGGCAGGTGACGTTGGCACAGAAGAAGGGGGCGAACTTGCCCCCACAGCGTGCCCCCTGGCACTCGTCGCACATCTGGTCGTCCAAGACGTACGGCTTGACCTCCACCTGGCAAAAAAAAAAAAATCAAAACAAAACCGCATTTTAGGTTATCATATCCAAAAAACACAGATTGAAGTGGCGTACGCTCAGATTCATAAAAAATTCACTTCCTGTTCAAGTAAACAGTCTTTGAAACAAAGGGCTCAGTAATACTGTATTCACGGCGACTGCTGCCATAATCTGTCAGCCTCAACAATGTTTTAAAGAAAAAGAAACCAGCTAATGCAATCGTGTTCACTGTGAATGAGAACAGATATTTTTAGATATGAAATGACAGACAAATCAAGGAAACCTGATAAAACAGATCAGCTGCAGCTGCCTCCCCGTCAACGAGCAACGAGAAACGGAAGCCCGGTTCAGTGAAACTACCATGTCCTCTGGGTGTCATTGCATGATAATCAAAAAATAGGGCTGCTATGAGTCACTGATGGATTTTAAGCAATCAATAAATAACTCCAGGCTACATCCACAATCCTTTCCACAGGTGTGGGGTCAAACAATTGGTACAGATCTACCATTGCCATTAAACAGTCTGCGTCGATTCCCAGTATAAAAGATGGGTGTATCCATCATGGCATCTCCCACTGGTTCATGAAACCACATGAGACTAATGAAAGGTGGATCAGTTAATTAATGTCGTGTTTTATTCAGTGATTCAGTAAAAGTAGTGATTGAGCCCATAAATTCAGGAAAATGTTTACCAAGGTAACAGAGCAAAGATTCAAGGGCCTTTTAGCATAGACTGCTGTACTATCAGGTCTTTTTGCAACCAAAGAAGGCGCCCTCTACTGGCCATTAAAAATAAAGTATGCGAGCTGCAGGTTTTTTTTCCATTTCCTCCAGTTTTTTGTTGTTGTTGTGTATGTAAAAAAAACCCAAAACAAAACACATAGCCATGTGATTTGCACAGTAACTGTGCTAGAATAACAGCTGGTTTTCTCCAGATGTGTTGCCCATTTAAGTCATAGTCCAGAACCCCCGTTCATTGTGATCCGTTTGACAATTTCTAAAATAAAACAGGACAGGTATCCACCCATCCACCAATATAATGAGTTTGACCACGAAGCCAGGAGACAAGAAATGAGAGCTCAGTCACCATGGAGACGCCTCAGCGTACAAGCAGGCAGAGGTGGATGTTAACCTTGTTATAGTGTGGCCACAAAATGAAAGGTTATCAAATCCTTCAGCAGTGGGAGACTGTGCTTAGCCAAACTCTGCTGAGAGCAACGAGCTCACGGAAGACAAAAAAGCAAGAAAGCCAGAAAGAAACGGCCGAGCTGCCAGGCCATTAAACACCAATTTCATCTCGGTGGACACAGAGCTGACCAGAGGTAATTAGCTCACATGTGCTATCATCAAGAGCCATTTACAGTTAAGTGAGTCACAGACAATGAAGGCGAGAAGAAGGACGAAGAGAAAATGGCACCAGCTGGCATCCTAGTTTCTCACCACAACTGAACATGAATTTCAAGAATGCGCTCCACTGTCTGTGGTCTGCAGTGAATAGAAATCCTTTCAAAACTCTTAATTCTTTCAACTTGAATCCTTTTGTTGCAGCCTAATGCCTAAAACAACAAAGCAAATGTAAGATGGACATCTATTTACCGCATAAAAGGAAGAAATTTTGCTAGGTATCTGGTTCAAAGACATGAAAATAAATATTTTGTTGTGTGAATGTTTTTGATGCTGTAAAGTGGTGTTTTCGGCAAACAGTCCTAGTCATAATAAAGTCATAATAAAGACACCATAAACCCCCGACTGAAGATAGATGGTGATAGCTGAGGTGGGTTGGACAGCCCCGCCCTGCAGAGGCTCAGCTTCCTGGCTGACAACCAGTCTCCCTCGGTCACGATCTGTCCCGCTGCAATTGGCCGGCGTGCCTAAAATAACCACCCAGCAGCACAGCTCCAGTGAATATACATGTATAGGGAACTACTATAATTAAACCATCCCTATGTGTCGGGACTCAGCCAAAGGCCATAGTCATTACACATCCAGGCATGGCCTTTCGTTATTGTAGGCTATGTTGGGTAGCTGGCTGAAATCCCTGCTATAATGAAAACTCTGATACATGGAGGACTCAAGCAGAGTTCAGCTCCACAGCTCGCCATAGGAATGACTGTGAAAACCTCACTTGTGGTCGAGACGCTGCTCTCTTTCAGAAGAGGGATCGCTGTGAACGAAGCTCACGAAGCTCACAAACTCACTCACCCTTTTGTCGATGTCATTGTGCTGCAGCTGAACGAAGCGAGCGCTGATGGCAGCGATGTAGCTCTGCTGATTGGAGAAGGCCACGCGGCCGGCTCCCTTTGGGTATTTGAGCTCTGGGTCCGTGTCGATGCCAGCATAGCAAACACCTCCGTACAGCCTGTCCATGATCATAGCCAGCTCCACTGCGGAGAAAGGAAGGGAAGAGAGGTGGGGGTGGGGAGAGAGATGATTAGTGCCACAAACTCCTCTCGGGAGTTTCTGTGAGTTTGCAAGTTCTGAGTTTAGTTTGTTCTTCAAATTGAAAGCCTTCAGTTGCGCTTGAAAAAGCAAAAGAAGTGTCCGACATAAAAATCTGCCCTGCTACACTACGCATCAGAGCAGCAGTCTCAACTCAAACTGCTGGTGTAATTAGCAGGGGGTCACATTGCAGACAAGCCAGCAATGTTTAGCCCAAGAAAAGAAAGACTGAGCCTTCCATTACACCATGAATTCTTAACGTGATGACCACTTGGCCTCCGTCCTGGAAACCCAAGTAGAGGATTGTTTTCTCACAGGAAGAACTTTCATTATAGCCTCCAGCCTCTGAGCTCCATGCCAGCCAATGTTATAAAGGCAATTTAGAGGCTCTGGGAGCTTGCTGGGGGAAAAAAAAAAGAAAAAAAAGATGTCCTCTCATTCATATTTCTGACTTACCTGCACGCAGGGGCCGTGGCACCCCCCCAACAAAGATGGTCTTGCGGGGATCCAGAGGCTGGGAGCCATCCATGACAAAGTCACTGTCGCTCAGGTTCCAGGGACGGATCTGGACCTTTGTGTAAAAGAAAAATGAAATGTTCCCACTTAGAAGTCATTGTGTGGTAAGCTGGTTGTGCATTTGGTTTTAACTAGATTGCAGTGTGGTATCAATCAATTATGTTAACTATACATTAGTTTAATCCAGAGTAAATTAGAAAGATAGTAGCCCACAATCTTCTACAAATCAATGGTCCACAGACCTTGTCTGAACAACACACCACACAGTTTATCTCAATACAAGTAAACTATATCTACATATATCTCCATCTCTCTGTCTCATATATATGTAGATGTAGATGTATAGATGTATAGATGGATAGATATATATCTCTATCTTAATGTTACACAACTTATATGGTTTCCATATAGAATGTACACAACTTAATGTTAGAAGCCTTAGAGTCTGTGCTAAAATAAGAAGGTTAACCAGCTAAACTTAAACACATAAACATGCTGGAATTGGCACTGAGAGCCAGACAGCATGCTAATTTTAGCAGTTGACTCAAAGCACTACTGTTAACCTCACAGGCCACTAGCATGGCACTTGAATTTTTTTTTGGTGATCAACTGGACCCAGCACCAAATTTGGATTCAGGAGACAAACACCCTCTCTACTTTTAAGGTTGTGCTGAAATTTTATAAATATTTAAAAAAAAAAGAAAAAAAAAAGAAAAAAGAGGGCTGCATCAGGTGACCCTGAACATTCCCTTAGTTATTTATTCTTTTCACTCTCTGCATTTGAATAAAAGACAGTGTGTCTTTTATTCTGTAAAGGGAGTTTTTCCTTCCCACTGTCACCAAGAGCTTTCTAACAGGGTCTAAGGCATCATTTGATTGTTCAGGCTTTTTGTATATTTTAGAGTCTTTACCTTACAATATAAAGCACCGTTACACACTTGTTTTATACTATATGAATAAAACAGAATCAACTTTTTTTTTTAAGAACCGTGGGCATACTGTCTGGGCAATTTAAATAAGTGAACTCTCATTAATTCAAGAAAACACATGTACCCCAAGAAAATATGGAGGGGAAATGTGGTAGCCATGTCAAAGTATGTTGCACCATTTCAAGAACTTTGTCTTAAACTTACTGGTTTGTCTTTGATTGTGGGACTGGATACACACAGGTAGAGTTTTCCATCTTCCTCAATGCAGGCATCAATCAGGGCCTGAACAGAAGATTCTTCCTGGAAAAGCAGGAAGGCATAGCCTAAAAAGGAAAAACAAAAACAGGGATTTTACAGGAAGAGAGAAAAAAAAAAGAGTTTCCACAGAAACTACATTTCCTGTGTTTAATAGTCACAACCTTGTGACCATGACACTTTAAAGTCTGTCTTCAAGGCAAGAATTCATGGATATCAGACTTTATTTTTTAAATGCAGTGTCACAATCCCATGACTAAGCCCCACACTGTTTTCCTTTGAACTATTCATAGATTCAGACAAGCAGGGCTCCAAGTGCACAGATGACCTTGCAGCCTGTTCTTCCATACTCATCAGCCTTGCATTCATATACGAGACATTCAGATGTTCCAGGCACCTTGCCGCCTGCACAGCCTCAGATTAAATGGCACGGAGTGCTTCACTCCTAAAGGAACCATGCAAAATTGATCAGCCTAACGCACTGCAGATCTTCCAGAGTCAGGTAGAGAGAGTTTGGTGATGTCTTTGAGAGGCAGAAAGAAAGAATGAGCAATTCAGACAGTCACTCTGTACTACTGAATTATTTAGCACGGAGAGCAGAGACCTCATCCAAGGTCAGAGCTATTAAGCCACTTCAGGCACCCAATTCAATAGGGTACATCCATCACGCGGTGCTACGGGGATAACGAGCAACAAAGATCTGATTTATAGGCTGAGCATCATGAGCGCCATATATTGAGAAAAGACAAAAAAAGAAAACTTTTTTGACAGATGGATAATGAATACAGGATGCATGTCTGAAACTGATAAAGGTAAATATCCAGTGCAGCACATCAGTCAAAAAAAGGCAGGAGATAATGCCACACAGTCACCTCTGAATAACACTAACCTATTCATTTATTGCTCTATTTATGCCAGAAAGGACCCGGCAACACCTGTGGCACCCATGAGTCAGAGGATTACGAGCTGCCGTCTGAGGAGTTTGAGTGGGTTTCTACCGGAGGACACTCCGACTCCAGTCACTTCACCTATTGCGTATCTTTAAAGGTCATTTGTTCCAGTGAGAACCCAATTATCTTTGACATCGTATCACCCTAACACGTATACATATGCAAAACCCAGTGACACACACTGACATGGACAAATGCACGAGTGGCAATGCGACTTTGATGTTTTAACACTTCTGAGTAGAGTTGCTACAGTTTAGATAAGCAGAAACTGGAGGAGAAAAAAAAAAGGTGTGGTGTGTAGATGCATCTGCGTGCATGTATTAGGGCAAGGGGGATAAAAGCAATGCAAGAAAGAAAACGGCTGCCAGTCTCAAAGGTAAGCTGGAAAAAAAAGCAGGTGCGTAAGCAGATGCGGGTTTGTCCTTAGGAGAAAGGGTTTTTGTCCGACTGCGACTGAATGTGAGGCATGTGCCCTGATGCATGTGACGCGTCTCGCCATCGCAGTGATGTGGCACAGCTCTCCCTCTAGCAGTGATGACTACTGCATCTTCCTGACATCGGCATCTACAGCAGCAGAAAACACTGCAGCAGATTTCCATGCAGTGTATGAAGCTTCAGGATTGTGATCTGATGACTCTGAAGAGCGAGAAAACTGCGACTGCGCAGAAAATACTGAAAAGAACCCAAAAGCAGCATTTTTGCAGAAGCCACCAAACACAAAACTGTGTTGGAACTTAAACTGGTCAGTAGATGGGAAGAAAAGTAGTCCTTCCCTGAACGCCACACTCAGGATCTGCAATACAGCATGTCTACCACTTTCGTGGTGAAAACCTGAGTGTGTTTAAGAATTCACCTCGTACTTTGTAGAGCTACCTTTTGAAGCAGTTAGACTTGCAAGGTTCTCCGGGCACGTCTCTTTCAGTTTAAAACATCTGGCAACTGGGATTTTTGCCGGTTCTCCAAGGTGAAACTGCTCCGGCTCTTTCAGGTCAGATGAGTCGTACTGGTGTAAAGCAGCATCTTCAAGTAATGCCACAGATTCTCAATTGCACTAAAGTTTGAGCTTTACCTTTAAACCACTCCAATGTGGGATTAGAGTTGTGTTTAAGGCCATTGTCCTGCTGATAACAGACACTCTTGGCCTTTCTGGCAGACTGAAACTGAAAAGTTATGCTTTATTGGGGATTTATGAATCAGTGGCTACAACGTAACGTCAAACCCACCTGAAACCCTACGCTATGATCTACAGCTATTTGATGTGCACCTCACCGCACGAGTCTAAATCAGCTCTTAGTTTTGTCTGATCAGCAAACTTTTTTGGAAAATCTGCCACTTACCCTTTCCAACTCCAAATGTTTTTTACGTACTGGCAACCTTTCCATATAGATCCACTCCATGAAATGGACAGTTTAATGCTGATCTATGGACCGATACTCCCATCTCCACAGTATTACCTTTCGTATCCACGTTAAATCTCTGAGATATGGGTGAGATATTCTTTCCATGTTCTTTTAATAAAAGAGTCATTTGGCTCCGGTTTATACTACTAATCCACGTGACCTCTGAAGTTAACTTGTTGGCATTGCATCTTATTTAGGGATTTACAAAGTAAATCAGATGAATCCATTAAGATTTATTTGTTCAATTCCAGGTTAATTCCACTTTGAAATTCATCACTAAATGATGGTAGGTGGGGGGGAGAGTTTTCCAAGACACCCCAGATGATTTTTTTTTTCATTTCGTCTTCTGACAAATTCTTAAAAATATGAGATATGTATTAACAGTATGTCAATTAGATAAATATCAGATTTTGCTAGCACAGCAGCAGTACACAACATTAAGTCTCTGTATGCATCTAAGCTTTATGCAAATAACCCCAGGGGACCTCACTAATTAAAGGGTTTTAGCTGTTGGTTTTGCAGGCTAATAAGCTCAGCGGGGCTATGATGTGTTCCCCAACAACAAACTGTACCACTGTGAGCAAAACAATAATATCCACAATGCAAAACTAATTAAAATCAGCTGCTTGAAGCGACCAACTAATCTCTGTCTTTTTTGTAACTGGTCCTTACAGAGCTAACCCCCGTCCGCACCACACACAGGAAATGCACAATCAGACATGACATAAAGAGGATTTTTGTGCATCACCATCTTCCTGCACGTGCCTCATCATCACCCGACATAAGACCCCCTGTCTCTGGGTTGCAGGCTTACATAAAGAGGGTTTGTCATTGGGAGAAATCATGTGGTTTAGTGCTGACATTCCCCCTCGGAAGAGAGAGAAAAAAAAGGCAACTGCAGTCGTGCACAAGAGGGGGGGGAGGCATGAAAAGGCAGAGCTAGCCAGCAGCTCATACAGTCTGAAGGAGGGAACAACGTGTTCCATGACCCAGGACGGAAGAGAGAGGCGGAGAGGGAGAAGGAGGAGGGGGAGAGGAGCAAGAGAGAGGGTTTTTTTTAAAAGTGAGAAAAGGTAGGAAGAGAAGGGAGAGAGGGTGCATGAATGGCTGCCTTACAAACGGAGTTTTAAAATAGCAGAGGCGGCTGAGGCGGATGGGAAGCTCCTGCTTTAATGTGCCCGGTTAGGAAGTTGTAGAGTTGATGCAAAAGACCTAAAAGTGATGCAGTCATTTCTATTTGCTACACCCCACTTTGCACTGCAACCAATACGTGAACTCCTGTCACAGCATTACACCTGTCGGAGGGGAAAATCTCTCAGCAAACATCCCGTTAATACAAACAAAAAAAACCTTTATACAGTCCTAAACTAGACTTCCGTGGTTGGACAGCTTCACCAGAATAAGAGCCTCATAATTCTACATGTCACGATCAAAATAATACTTCAGCCAAGGCTGCTTGTTAAAGTGGCCTGCGCAGATTCCTCTGGCCACTCTGTCCCCCTCCAACGCTCAGACATCTGAATGGTGCTGAGGATTTCTCTCTTTTTCCATCATCCTTGCGCAGTGCAGAGGCTTATGCCGCGGGAGGAGAGCACAGATCTGCATTGGCTCGTGCCTGAGATTTATAGGGCTTTGCTGCTGAGCTCCGAGCACTGTCTAGCGAGCGGGCTGGGGGTGGGTGGGGGGTGAGAATATGTACACTAGCAGTATTTCTTTCCTCCTATAGAGCGCAGTTAACAGACAAACAAAAGGCCCCCTCTTGGACAAACCGATGACTTCACGCAGGACCGAGTCTTTCCAGCAAAGGAGGCCAGCTGATTGACTCATGTGGAGAGAAAGTGTCACGTCAGTGGCAACAGGATGACATTTTGTGGAGTAAAACAAAAGACGTGAGCTGCTAGTTTGACCTTTTTGGGAGATCAGGTGGGAAGACTGATAACAATTTCATGTCTGCACAGCTAATATGAATACACTAAAGTGCTGAGAAGTAGTTGGAACCTTTAGTAAAGTCACAACAGTCGTTGTTTTCAGCCGTCGATAGAAAACGAATGCCGACATCTCTCTTATTTTTAAAGAACGGCTCCATAATGACTGCTCTCTGAACTAGTTTCTACTCGATCTGCTTTCGTATCTTTGAATTTGATAGCGTGAGCTTGGACTTTAAGCAGTGCGCCAACATCTTTCCACTGCTACATCAAAGTCATACAGTGCAATCCTATTCTGCCCATTATCTCATCAATTCAAAGTTATGTTGACTTTGCTGAAATCCAATCCGCGATGGCTAGATAAGCTGAGCGAGCGTGGTCACAGTGTGCACCTCTCTGGCTTTAATGGGGACATTTAAATCCAGAGCTTATCATTAATACTCTCACAAACAGTGCTCTTGTGCACATACTTCAAAGACCTGGATGAGATGCAAAGGATAGAAGATACTAAACCTCCATGTATGCTATATGTGCTGTGAGAGAGGAAAGGCTGCGACTCTGACACAAAATGTAACGAGACAGGCCGCTGACAGCAGGAGGAGGAGGAGAAGAATAAGTAGGGAGAGGAGGAGGAGGAGGAGGGCTTGGCTGGATGGATGAAGGGGGACACAAACATCTGCTCTCCTAAAAACAAATACAGGCCCCTGAGGCTCTGAAGCAATTGCAGAGTAGTCGGCGGTAGAGCAGAGGAGCGGCGAAGTGAAGCGTCACTAATCATCTCAATTTGAGGAAGTCACTCACTGGATATAATCCCCACACGAGTGCGAGAAGATAAATCAAGCCCTGAGTATTGGCGTGCCTCTGCAGCACTTCTCTGCTGCCATTATTTCAGCCTTTCAGCATTTAGATAAAGAGGGGGATGTAGATGACATTCAAACAAGTCTGGCACAAGGTAACTACAGGATGCAGAGCAGTATGTTTGCAGTGCTCAGGCTATGCCATGCAAACAACAACCACCTTCCTCCTCCTCCTCCTCCTCCTCCTCCCCGGTCACAGACAGAAATAGCTCCCTAACATTTGACGCTCATTGCCAACCATAGTGATGACAGTGTTTAGGCGACAGGAGAGGGTGTGAGCGGCAGCCCCGCACTGACCAGAGCTTACTGTTCACACCCCCTCCCACAAACATCAAATAGGGATGTTCCATTTAGTTCATAAAAGCAAAATACCAGTATCATATAAAGCTGTAAGAGCTTGCACGCTTAAGGGCATCAGAAACACAAACATCTACCTTTTATCTATTTAAAACTGTTATGTGGAACATCAGGCATGCAGCTAACTCAGTGCACCATTTGCGATGGTTTGGGGTCTTGTGTCTGGCCACCTGATAAATGCAAGTGTAACTGTTAAGGAAGGTATGTCTGTCTTTAAAGAACCAGATACTGCACTATAGTAACCAGTAGGTAAATGTGTCCTCTGGTACTGAGGATAGCATCCTAGAGATCAGTGTATAAATGATCTCCAGAATAAGGTGATAATTGAACAAACTAAAAAGGCCTCTTTAACATACCGTATTTTCTGCACTGTAAGGCGCACTTAAAATCCTTTATGATCAGCGTTGCTGCTTTACCACGTGTAATAATTA